TGGACACGAGTAAACAAGTCCATTGCAACGATCTCACGTAGATTACAGGAAGGTAAATGGGCATTTTTGAAGGTGTGTGGTGATAAATGGCAGAGGCATATTTACGGCAGCACAGGACAGCACATCAGAAAAGTACTACAGGATGGTAATAAGTGATGCAATTTCTTGGGAAATCCTTTTGATAAAAATCAAAGGATATGAAAAATGTGTATTTTGCTTTGCTGATAATTTTAATCTCAATAAACTGAAGAAGCATCAAGGAACAGGATTTAGTGTCAGTTTAATTTTAACAAATATGGGAAGAGTACTTGGTCATTTAGAAAAATCAGAAACTTTGGGAGAATGCCAAGCACTCATAAAACAAACCTCTCTATAATCCTGTCAGAGATATGGCAGGGAAGCTTTCTTGGAAGGGATGCTACCCTAAATAATACTCATGTCCCTTCTGAAATATGAAACACGGCCTCTGGTGTTCTGTAGTCACAGTAAGAACTCCAGAGGTGGCCACTGTGGAAACTGAGCCTCCTATCATGCTCCAGCTATGCTGAGAAGGAACAAAAATAGCTCTATACATGAAGTGAGGTAAGAAGGGACAACAGAGCTTCCCATAAACATAGTACAGAACTGTACAAATTGACCAATTTGCTGCTAGAATAAAAACAGATCTTTAATATACAATAAACATTTTAAGAACTGAGAACAGTTATAGAAATCTGATTTCTTACAAAAGATAGAAGAGTCAATGAGAAAATAAAACCTGGAAATACACATATCAACCTCAAGAGTATGTAAACTATCTGCACTTAGAGACAGAATGAAAAATTCATAAAGGAAATGTTTCTTAAAGGAATTAACATTAAAAAGAAAAATGATGCTAGATAAATATTTTAGGAAGTATGAAGTCAGAGTGTTAAAAAAGATTTAAAATAAAAAAGTAAGCAAACATAAACCAATTAAAAGTAACCCATGACCACATTTGGTAAAATGAGTTTAATGAGAATAACCTTTTTATAAATGGAAAACATAAAAAAATAATAAAAGGAGAAAGAAAGCACAAACACAGTGTGTTTGCCAGATTTCTGACATTGATAAAATGCCCGAGGAAAGTCAACTGTCTCATGGTTTCCGAGGTATCAGTCCACAGTTGTTGGTCCCATTGCCTTCCAAAGCAGAAATCATGGTGTGAACATGAATTATAGCAAAGAGAGAAATGGAAGAGCTTGGATTCCAATATCCTGTCTAAGGACATATCCCCAAGACCTAACTCCCTCCCACTAGGCCCCACCTCCTAAAGGCTCCCCCACCTCCTGAAGGCTCCCCCACATCCCAGTAAGGCCATTCTCTGGAGACCCAGCCTGCAATGCATGGACCTTTAGGTGAATTTTCTTACAGAATTTGGGACATGAAAAAAATGCAAGGTGAAGTAATAGCCTGTCATAACTACAAATAAAATTAGTAAATTAAATATAACTAAGTACTAGCAAAATTAATTGCCTAGTGTACAATAAGAAACTTTAAAATATTTCCTTCTTTGATTTACTAGTTTATTTTTAAGAACCAACCAAGCAAAATCATTTTAATTGATGAAAAACCCTGACTGTGTTTTAAAATGCTCACACTAATACTTTTTTCCAAAACAAAAATTAAGGAAAAAGGGATTCACAGATTCACAGGAGTGAAATGATGCCTGGTTCTCTAATTCTGGCTGGCAAGGTTATAGGCTCTAATGGGGAAGCTAATGATACTACTGTTTACTAGATGGTTATGATCACGAACTGCTTTCTTTTTAATATGACAAGAATAGGTAATGGTGGAGTGATCAGCCCTAAATGGGACATCTATGTCACTCTCTTAAAAGCTCAGGAAAAATGACAGGGACAGGATCAAGAGTAAGATCCTGAGCTTTCCAGTCATGAACCTACCACAGCAGCTGTTACTGCATAAGACCTACATACAGGCTGCATCTGTCAACATTGTGTCATGTGGGGGTGTGGCTCATGGAGCTCCACTCCTTCCTAAGGGTCTCAGGGAAGACAATGGTTGTGTGTGTGTGAGAGGGGTGTGTGAAAGAGTCATTTTCTTCAATGGTGTAGCCACTTATACATTGCTTGTGTTCCTGTACATAACCTACCCCACACTTAGTCAAGAAACTCAAACCCAGTGGGTCACACACAGGAAAACACAAGAGTAGGAGGAAGCCTGTTGGGAAGAAAAGTATTGTAGATGAAGAGGGAGGGGAGTGAGAAAAGGGACTGTTGGGTGGAAATAACTAAAATTCACTATTACATGTGTGGAACTGTCAAAAAGTTTTAAAAAGGAAAAAAGTAAGATAAAAAGCCAACATTCAGCAAATACTCATTATACACAGATGTACTTTTTGCATAAGCTACCATGTCTAAGTGTTTTGACAGGTCTCAGCAGACATGATCACACTACAGAAAAGGTTCCCAATGCTCCAAAGAAACTCACCCAGAACAAAAGAGTAGAAATGGATGCAGCACTTAGGGTGTGGCTACTGACCTGATGGATGGTTTACCTTCTTAGCATGAAAGCACACAAAGGAAAATAGTGGAAGGCAATGTATATGTTCACAAAATACATAAGAAAAAATTCCATATCCACAATGACTGGAAACACTTCATAGGAAAAAAAAAAAGACAAGGAAAATATACAAAGACCAGCCAATCTCAACAGAACTGGACAGGATGCTGGGTCAGTAACTACAGTTAGCTGGTCCTGAGAACATAGCCAAGTGCAGTTTACCTTCTCAGGCTACAGAGGCGAGCAAGAAAAGCAGGGAGACACTCTGAAAGGCTCAAAAGCAGTTTAGGTGGTCTGGCTCATATAGGAGATAGAGAACGAAATTCGGGGCAGATACGGTAAATCTTCTATAACGAGTAGGGCTGTAATTCTTTCCATGGTAGGTTGCTAGGAAAATCATAAATTGGTCATGGTTAAAATGTCAGAAGACTCAAAATCATGAGGAAAAAATAATGAATTATTGAGGTGTGGGCTCACTCTAGAAGCCACACATTTTCTGAGAGAAATAGGAGCTGTGAGTGAAATAATTTTTATTGTATGAAAATTTCTATTAGGTAGCTGGGGAAAGGTAAGGGGGGAAATACAAATCTTTACTCTCATGTTATCAAAAGGAAGTATCTGCCTGGATGAGCTTCTGAGGAAAGGGCCTGGATCAACTCATTTGTGACTCACAGACCATGTTCTTTATGTGTGCACACACACCCGTACAGCAGAATAGCTGTCAATTATAGTAATTCTATAGCATTTTTAAAGGTGCGATTTCTCTAGCAACATGGCCAGAAACTCATAACCCTCCTGCCTCAACCTCCTAGTGCTGGAATTATACATGTATATCATCTCAACTGGCCACAATCCTGGCTCTTTCCTTTACTTTTTCTTTGTCTCATGGATTTCTTGTCACCTAGCCCCCCTCTCCTGCTTCATTTTGCTGTGCTAAAAGGAAATCCTGGAGATGGAGAAGTGGCTCCCTGGTTAGAAACACAGGTTGCTCTTCTGGAGGAACTGGGCTCCATTCTCAGATCTCACGCAGCACAGCTCACAACTGTTTCAACTGCTTATGACTACAGTTCCAGGGGATCTGGCCTCTATGAGCATCAGACACATACACACAGTACACAGACTTATATGCAGGTAAATCATTGATACATATAAAATAAATTAAAAGTTTTAAACAAGAAACTATACATACATATATATGCATACTTATAATTTAATGTAGGTAATTTAGTTTTTTTGTTCATGAACATTGTTGACAAAAGAGAAGGGAAGAGAGGAAAGGCAGCAAGGATGAAGGAAGGGAGAGAGGAGGGGATAGAGGGACAAAGGAAGGAGGAAGGACAGTTTTAACTTAGCATTGTGGGTGGAATTAAACATTCTAAAGAGAACTGATTTGACTTAGTGCACACTACCCGCTATCCCTGGACTTGGTGGTCAAAGACCATTATTCTGCTGTTTAAACACATTCTTCAGTGTAGGAACTAGCCAATTTGCTGACTGGTGAAGCCTCTGTACCCAGTAGAGCCTCAGTAAGTATTTGTTGAGTGAGGGGGTGGACATACAAGTCTCACTGTCTCTGCAGACAAAGCTCATTTCCCATCTGACAACCTTTCCTCCTGAGTCCCAAGGACTGACCAGAAAACTGCCATATTGCCTCTTTACCACCCACCATGGCACACTCAGCCCTACACAGTAGCTTTCTAGATCTATAAGTCACTTTTTTTCTATTTCAATACATACGAACACACACACACCACACACACACACACACACACACACACACACACACACACACACACACACTTTGCTGGCAGTTAGCAAAGCCTGTTTTACAAAGCACACATAAAACTCTCAAGAAACACATGTTGAATTAAGCAGTAAAACCCTTAAATGACCTTTGACTTAATGACATTTCTAAACATGCCATCTATTGATTTCTTGGAATTACTATTTCAGAGTGTGGCAGGCAGCAAAGTCTGAACTTGGTGTCCGTTGAGCTGAGTTTCTACTCGTCACTTCAATGCTGGAAAAGTGACCCTCAACACTCATCTTCCACTTCCACATTTGTAACATGGGAACATGAGCAAAAGTGGCAACCAAACATGTGTCTTCCCAGCTATCACAAAGGAGATGGTGATCAAATGGCACGAACGAGAATAAGTTTCGCAAATAGGAGAGAAGCTATTGGCCTCCCATCTACCAATTAGTGAGTGTGATTGCTGCTGCAAGGCTGTGGGGAAAAGACCCGGTGTGGACCAACAGCAATGAGGGAGAGGGTTGCTTTGACTGCAAAGAGCAAAGTGCAGAGGAAACAATCTCTAGTGCAAACAGCCAGACATGCCCCAGTCAAAAATCAAAAGCCACATACAGCACCAGCATGTAGAGAGGTTACCATTGAACACCTGTCACTCATGGTATTTGGCAGTGCTGCAAAACATCTTTGAAACCAGGAGAAAGCTTACCAGACACGAGCTGCTGGCCAGGCAACCCCACGGGAACCATGCCCAAGTTATTCATAGCTGTGGCCCAGGCTGTGGGATCGGTGACGGACATGTTGAGCTGGGTAGTATCTAGGGCTATACTCCCCAAACCATCGGCTGCTGCAGGAAAAACAAACTCAGCTTAGTGTTGACAGGCAGGGCTCTTCCTTTAACAGGAAATCATGTTTCTAAAGATATGAGGCTTCGTTTAGCACACTGCCAAGGCCTTAAAAAAAAAAAAGACTCACTGTGATCTATACTGCGCTGATAATTTCTCTGCATGTAAAAGCATCAGGATGGGAGCAAAAAGATGGGAGCATAAAGAAGTGCGTTCATGGAACTTTCTAGATGAAAACAATGACATGGAATCTGTATTGTTTGCAGCATGCCATCAAACAGGCACCTCTGGGAAAACACAAGCATCACTTTCCTCCTCTAGGTGAGGCAACACTTGTGTTAAGAGACAAGATCTAAAAGGAAGCAGTGGGAAGTCACTGCCGAGCACAGCAAGATAGATAAGTGTGTCTGTTTCTGAGGGTTACTCTGGTCCAGGCGTCCTGTGTAACCATCCAACAAGAAAACACTTGCCATGGACCAGAACAGATCCTGGTTGGATTGGTAAAGTGATCACTGAGGCATATCTCCTCTAAGGAAATGCACATGTCTATCTAAAATGACTCTTTCAGAGTACTCCTTTCTTATTATTTATTTTTATTATTTAAAGGTTATAATACAATTACATAATTTCTCACTTCCCTTTCCTACCTCCAAAATGCTCCCAGAACCCCCTCCTCGCTCTCTTTCAAATTCATGGCCTCTCTTTAGAATATTTCTTATAAATACTGGCTGATAAAACAACTAAATAAAATTAGAAGACAAATAGCAGGAATTAAACAGAAAAAAGAAAACCGTGTTAAATTTGATTTTTCACTTTTTTGCCTTTCTTGAGTTTCATAGCCTCCTCCTGTCCCCAGGCTCTGGCCCCTGATTCAACACTGATTTTCATGGTTGATTAAGCTTTTCCAGTAAAAATGCAAAAGATCTTGTTTGTGACTCACACTGGCCCCCACCCTTTACCTGCTGCCATCATCTGAGGGAGCTCCTGAGAACACGGGGCAATGCTCTGGAACACAGCTGCATCTACCATTGACTGACAAGCACCATGGGGCTCCTGGGTGCTCTGACAGCTGAGTGGAGGGTCCCCTCGGAGAGCATTGGACTCTGTAAAAAAGGACAGGATTGTGGTGAGGAAGGGGCATTCGTAGGGAAGAGTAACAGACTGCTGTTACTTAAACACAGAACAAAAACACCAAGATCCAGTTCCAGCAGCAGGGCACAGAACTCAAAGCGCTTACTGCCCAACCCAAAGTGCTGTGGCACGGGGTCTCCTTGCTTAGGAGATTGTATGGGTCAACTTATCACCTCACCTGGCCCGGGGCTGGCGTCTGAGTGTGTTACGGTTTAGTCTCCTGCTGCAGCCTCTTTGCCTATGGGCCTTATCAGTACCAGCACAGCCGCCTCCGCACACTGCACACCAATAGCCAGGGCAGACTAAGGCGAACATGATTTCTTTTCAAGTTAAAAAAATTTAATTGATGTTGTTATTTTGGAAGACGGTCATCTGTGAAATGTATTCAAAGAGGACAAAAAGTAGGGAGGAAGAATCAAAAAAAGCAAGAACTTTTTTTTTTTTTTCTGTAAGGCTTGCAAAAGAGAGTACAGTCATGAGCTGTGGCAAGGGGAAAATGGCAGGGCCTGTCCTGAGAAGAAGTCTACAAGGCTACAGTAGCAGAGACAAAATGTTTGTTTTTTGGTTCTATAAAATGATGAATTGAACTGGCCCAAATTTATGGGACTCAAATTTTCCTGAGAATTACATGGCATACAGTGTGTATATGTATGTGTATATATGCATGCATGTCTCTATGGAGACATATATTTTATAGAGAGATATGTATTTTGTTATACTCAGGGCTTTTCTAATAAATATGAATATACAACATACAATAAGGTTACAAAGGGCCTTTCTGTGACATTAATTATAAAATATAATGCCTTTTCTCCACCCTTTCAAATGCAAAAGCCACCTCTGCACACATTCATGGTTTAAGTGCACTTTTGCCAGTTGTGAAACCTAGATGAGAGACCCAAAGACTGTCTGAGACGACATCTAAAGTTAAATATTTGCTTTTGTTTAGGTGTAAGTTTACTTCTTTTCTTCTGGAGTCACATTTCTGTTCATACTTTTAGGTATTCTAGTATTTTAAGAATAGTGTGAAGCTTGAGTATTTCAAGTTATGCTCTTTGATTCTTAGGGCCAATTCTCAGTAGCCCACTCCCTAATAAGTATGATGTTGACAGAATGCTTCCTACCCATTCAGCTGAAATGCAAGCTCGGGTCTCGGTATCTTAAGAATAGGTGCACGTGGATGTGGTCTTGGGAGTTCAACAAATCTCCGTCCCTAAGCAGGGCAAATGAGATGCTGGGGAACCAGAGTTCCAGGTGGTTATGTAGGTGTTGGGAATCAAATCCATGTACCATCTCCTACCCATTCAGCTGAAATGCAAGCTCGGGTCTCGGTATCTTAAGAATAGGTGCACGTGGATGTGGTCTTGGGAGTTCAACAAATCTCCGTCCCTAAGCAGGGCAAATGAGATGCTGGGGCATTTTCCTCCCAATTAGGTATTGCCTAGCAGTGGATGATTCCAATTTGGGGAACAAACTTGTATTCAGAACATATATGTCAAAACTTTCTGTTAAGCACTACTACCAAATGAATCTAGAATGTGCTGATGTATTGTACACCGATTACCATGGGCAACAAATGCCACAAGACGGATTCTTTCCATATAAACCAAGTTCAGCAAACACACAGCAAGCCTGACTGTATGCCCTGCAGCTGTCCACTCGTCAACACTATGGTGAAGTCTTGGAGTACTTTTCTCTCTGCTCCAACCATTGCAGGGCACCAAGACAGAGCCAGATGAGCATTCTCATTCTTCTCTTCAACGGCCCTGTAGTGGAGCAGCCTCGGATCACCACAAGGTCACTATTTGTCTTACTTGGCTCCCTAAATGAAGTGTAGTTGGCTCCCTTCCTCCAGCTCAGATCTCCACAAATGGACATCAATCACACAGTTTTTTTTTTTTTTTTCCCTGTCTAATGAGTTTGCAGTTCCGGAACACTCTATCAGAGAATATCTCCTTACTTTGTCGGCTTTATGGCTTGTGCCACTCTGGTGATGCTTAACCTTGACTTTTCTCTACAGTGTTACAGGGATGGCATTAGCTTGTCTTGGCTCCACACTGTCTGTTCCAGTGGTAATTCTCACTGTGATCGTTATGGCTGTAAACAGGAGCATCAGAAACCCTGGGGACCCATGTCTTGCACAGCTACCTTAACAACCTGCTGCTATTTCAAAAAGATTGCTTTATTAGCAGGACGTGGTCTGTAAACTTTCATTTATCCCTATCTTGAACTCTGTGACTTTCAATTTATTATAGCTCTCCAATTTCCTAACCCAATGTTTTTAATTACATACACCTTCATGTGGCTATAAGGTACCTAGGATGGTGTTTCTGAAATAAGTGCATTCCTACCAGATATTTCCAGTGGACTCAAGACTGACAGGATTTTCCTTGTGTAAAATTTTAAGCTGATTTGATCACATGAACTCAATCAAAGGGAAATCCTGCAAATCGTAATTACTACATGGTAATCTGTGATTGAACTGGAGAGTGACTTTTGTATTTGGTTAACACTGTTTCAACCATTCAAGGCCATGACGCTTAACTGATCATTCAAACCAATTTCCCTGCCTTAGTTTTCTTATTTCTAAACTATAGGAAAGATTAATATTATTAATGATGTTTATTTACACATAGATACGGGGAGTTAAGGTTTACAGCTAATAAACTACTTTGAATATAGTAGGTGATAATTACTGTTATTTTATTTGGAAGTGCAGCGTTTCTATTAAGGTATCCTGGGATCTTTGTGTTCTGGTGTATAATTACGTAATTAATTATAAAACAGTGAATAACACTTGATATTTCTAAAAGTAAGTGTTGCCCTAGTTTTCTGTACCACACCTAAATTGTAGCAGACTGTTTCATTCCCCACAATTCCTTTGTAAAATAACATCATATAAAAGGTGGATGATTTTTTTTCCTCTCCAGCTTTTCCATTCTATGCAAATACAAAAGCTTTTAAGAGCTTCCTGACAAATTATGAAATTGGCGGTTTCTGCTTACAGGTTTTACTGAGGGATTATTATTATAAAGCAATCAGATGTACAGAGTGTCAAGGATAACAAGAGATCTCTGCCTGGGCATAATGGACCTCCAACCTGTTCTTCAGTGAAATAGACTGAAAGCCAAAATCTCACACTTAATTTCCCAAAGGCTTAACAACACACATTTTTGCTCAGTACTTCACTGGATTACATCAACTGAGCAAAACTGTCTGAAATCTCATCAAGCCTACAAAACCACTGTAGTTCAGGAGCATGGGGTGCCTCCACCTGGAAAGTATAGGGCCTTCTCATCCTTTCTAATGACATATGTACCAAGGACAAATAATTTAAAGAAGACAATCCACCTGTGGCTGTCCACAAAAAGAAGTTTCCTGTCAAAGGGGGCAAAAATCAGCTATGTTTTCAAAATATTTTATTTAAAAAATGAATTTGTTTGGCCCAATTCCTTAGACTCATGTCTACTTTAATAGAAAAACCATTGCAATGAGAGAATCAGTTTTATTAATGTCTTTAAATGAGATGAGATCAAAGCAAACTTATGTCCTGTGATAGCTGAAGCCTCATTTGCTAGGAAATCTTTATTAGCTATAGTTTATGTGTGTGGTGAAAAGCTCCCAAATTCATGTTTTTCTATCACTAAGAATATGTCTACTATTGCTGTCCAGCAGGAGAACACCTACTCACCATTTCATAGTTTAGAGAGACATTTTACAGATTAAAACGAGGAGATATCCTACAAGTAGATATATGCTATGGATGTGTTACTGCCATGCTTTTAAAACAGCCGTCTACAATAACACAGGAGGTGCTTTGCCTCTCCTACCTGTGCACCAGGGAACTCCAGAGCAACCGTTCCATTAAGGAACACCTAGAAAGTTGTGTGTTTTACATTTGTTTTTTAAAACTCTGTTTTCTTTTCACAAACACAGACCAAGCTCTGCAGGGTCTTTTTGCATTGTTTTCTAAGGCAAGCAAGTCATCTTCCTACTGAGTATTTTAGGAGATGAGAGGGATCTGCAAAATTGAGGACAAAATGAAACTGTTCTTCAAAACAGGTTATAAAAGTGGAAAGGGGTAGTGGTGGAGAGATGTAGAGATGGCTCAGTGGTTCAGAGCACTGGCTACTCTTCCAGAGGACCCAGGTTTGATTCTCACAACCCCACATGGTGTCTCACAACCATCTGTAACTTCAGTCCCAGGAAACCTGATGCCCTCTTCCGGCCTCTATGGGCACTACATACATGTGGTACACAGACATACATACATACAGACAAACACCCAAACACATGCAAAATAATAAAATAAAAAGGAAAAAAGAACATAAACACACCCATACATGTAAACAATTAAAAAACAAAACAAATGCTGCGCAGTGGTGGTACACGCTTTTACTCCCAGCACTTGGGAGGCAGAGGCAGGTGGATCTCTATGAGTTTGAGGCTAACCTTGTCTACACAGTGAGTTCTAGGATAGTCTCCAAAGCTACAGAGAAATCCTGCCTTGAAAAATCAAACCAAACCAAATGAAACCAAACCAACCAACCAACCAGCCAACCAAACAAACAAACAAAAAACAATCCAAAACATGGTAAGAGCACACAAAAGCACTTTTCAAGTACTAGAGAAGGGTTCATTGGTGGCCACCATTATAGAGATAAGTCACTATATCAAGGCACAGAATATCAGATGGTTCACAGGAAAAGGTAGAATGTAAACCACAAAGCACCTGAAGGAGGATGCCACTGGTATTCTCATGGAAAGAGGCAGGAGAATGGACCTTCTCATCCATGCTCCCACAGCAAGCCATCCTAGCACCACTCTCTAATCAACTCTAAGCTCAGGATGATTGAGACGATTCATCACATTTGCCCACCCTGAAGCTAGCAGGCCCAGTGCACAGTGCAGAAATACAAGCAAATTCTACATTGCTTCTTAATTCTTTTGAGCATTGGGAACACTTTGAAATAGCTTAAAGGTGGTAATGAAGAGACAGATGATAAGAGATAACCTAAGATCCCAGATGAAAAAAAATATTATGAAGGTTTTAAGTCTGATAAATATACAGGATTCTGACTGCTTATTAATGATCACTATCTGCTAATTGGTGGCGAAGAAGAAAACTAAGTTTTTGATGGAGAGTTTTAAGTAGAACAAATAAATGGGGAGATTTGTTAAGCAGTAATATCCTTTAAAATCTGCATATATTTATTTTATGTGTATGAGTGTTCGCCTGCATATGTATGTATGTATGTATGTATCACGTGCAGGCCTGGTGCCTGCAGGGTCAAAAGGCAGTACCAGAGCCCCTGGAACTGG